TATAACCTTTAGTGTTTGATGCATAACCAAGAAAAACACATGGGGTCGATTTGGGATGGAACTTGTGTGTATGAATATTTGGTAACCACGGATAACATAAACAACCAAAAGTTCTTAAGATAGTATAGTCAGGTGGTTTACTATAAAGTAACTGAAAGGGAGAACGTTTAGGAATTGGTGAGATTGGCATCCGATTTATGAGATAAATGGTAGTTAACAAAGTATCTGGCCAAAAGGATAAGGGAATATGAGCATCAAGTAGTAGACTACGAAGAGTTTCAATGATATGGCGATGCTTCCTTTCAGCGATGCCATTTTGCTCTGGCGTGTAGGGGCAGGTTAATTGATGAATGATGCCGGAAGTTCTTAGAGTATGTTGAAAAGAAGCGTTAACAAATTCACCACCATTATCTGAGCGAAGAATTTTAATCGGTGTGCTAAATTGTTTCTCAACAGAGGACTTGAAGAGAACAAACTTGGAATGAGCTTCAGATTTCATACGCATTGGAAAAACCCAACAAAAACGAGAATAATCATCAACAAAGAGGATATAATATTTAAAACCTTGATTTGACAAAATTGGGGAAGGACCCCATACATCTGTATGTATCAATTCTAAAGGCTTTTTGCTACAATTTGAAGAACGAGTAAAGGATAATTTGTGGCTTTTAGAAAGCGCACAAGCATTACAATGAAAACTAGAAGAAGAAGTAGTCCTAAAAACAGTAGGTAAATCCGCTTGTGTTGAAGAAGATGGATGACCCAAGCGACGATGCCAGAGCGTGCTGAGAAGAACAACTTGAGATGAGGTGGATTGTTGTGGATTGAACAGTCTATAGAGGCCTTGACGGGAGTGACCACGAAGAAGAGTTTGATTGTTCTTCAAGTCCTTAATTGCAAAACCAGATTTGTCAAAAAGGACAGAACAAGGATTATCATTTACAAGTTGATGTACAGAAATCAAATTATGGGAAATAGAAGGTACGTGAAGAAGGGAATTTAACCGAAGCTTACGTTGAGGAGTCGGAAGAATGCCTTGTCCGGAATGAGTAATTGGTAGCATGTCTCCATTGCCAATCTGCACCTGTTGAGCTCCTGTGTAGTTCTGCGGATTTTGAAGCTGCGTAAAATCAGATGTGAGGTGAGACGTCGCTCCAGAATCTAATACCCAATCACCTGTTTCGGATGCAGAACTTGCGACAAATGCAGATGAAGACACTGGTTGATACTGCAGATTAGCACGATGCCAACATTTAAATGCTGAATGACCTGGTTTTCGGCAAATTTGACACTCCACATAAGTGTTTGAGTTTCGCCCAGGTGGCCTAGCAGCTTGCTGTACCGGTGACGGAGTTGTTTGATTGTAGCGACCACGTCCTCGGTTTGATCGGAAACGACCACGACCACGGGATGCAGACAAGGCAAGTTGAGGATCTGTGGACGGAAGAGCTTGATTTTCTCGTGCTGCTTCTGCTGCCAAATTTACTTCCTCGCTACACAGCAAGGCGTAGAAATCGTCTATATTGACGGGTTGTAAATTAGCTCGAATATATGTTTTAAAGGCCTGATAACTCGGAGGTAAACCATTCAGAGTGTACATTATTACATCTTCTGAATTTAACCGAGTACCCGAAGCAGCAATAGCATCACACTTGCTCTTTATATCAGAGAGGTACTGCATCATTGTCCGATCCTTCATCGAGATATGACGCAGTTCGTTTTTCAACTGTAACAATCTTGAACGATTTGAGGATTGAAGTCGCCGTTCAATAGTCCTCCAAATCTCCGCACAAGTGTCCATGTTTAATACATAGGGCAATAAACTGGGAGAAATAGCTGAATACAAAGCAGCAGACAAATTTTGATCTATGAGAATCCAGGTTTGATAATGAGGATTAGATACAACTTCACCTGATTCCTTCACCATATGTTTCTCTGGCTTTGAAGTGGTTCCATCTAGGTATCCATCGAACCCGTTGG